CCACCCTGTGACTGAGTGACATATATATATATATATATATATATATATATATATATATATACATATACATATAAATATATATATATATATATGTATTTGTGTGGTTAAACAGTTGCGTGTAGCGTAGCCTTTTTTCCTACATGGAATTTTGTTAAATAAACGTTGACAAACCAATTAATTGAATCTAATAAATATAGGTTGATTTATTCACGAAGGCTTTTTAGAATGACTGGTTTGAATAAGTATCCACTCTTTGTACAAATAACCTTATAGCTGCAAATGGCAATGATGGAAACATGGCAATCTGGGGGACGTGTCCATTTATTGTCTATCTTTAGAAGGTTTTTCAATGTTTAAAAAAACTTTGTTTGATGGAAACATGGGTGTAAGAGTGATAATAATACTAATCGTATTCTTCCCTAACATAAGTTATGTTAGCATTAAAAATGTAACTCAAGCTCAACCAATTATTGCTTCAGCCTGCCGCACATGGTTAAAACATGTCTGTTTCTCAGCTGTTTCTCATCATTTCCTGAGAAAGTATCTCTCTCAGTAACATCAAGAGCTCAGATCACTACAAAGAAAATTGATATTTTTCCTTGTAGTATTAAACCATTTCCAACATTCACTTTTGTTCATGGCATGTAAGAAATCTAAACATAAGCTGTTATTAAATGCTTGTTCTTAACCTGCAGTGCATGTGCATCTTACGCGGCTTGAAACGCTGTAAAGTGTGTTATTGCGTATAGCAGCATGACAGAATGCTGGAGCTGGACAGTGCCAGAGTAATGAGAGCCAGGTGAGTGTTCTTTGTGTGGCTGCAGCAGGGAAACATGACAATATGTATAGTTATGGTTACAGCAAAGTCTGTGGGGGCAGTAATAAAGTCAGGACGATTATATAGCTAGAGGGGGGAATGCAACACAATTCCATGCTGCAACAACAGCTTATAGGAACATGATATCTACAGTACGATCATCAAAGAGGGGAAGATTTAAATAACAGGAAATGTGTTGAGGCGGGTAGATTATCAACATTATCACTAATCCAACGGATGACTTGGATCCAGTTGTGTGAAGAATACTACACAGAACTGCTAAAAAGATAAATGGAACTATATTATATCCTGAATTGGCAGAAATTAATTATGCACTTTGATCATTATGGGCAATAGGGATTAAAGGAAAAGAATGAGGGTGAATTTAATATAGGTTTTAATTGTGGTCTACATTTAGAAGTGCTGATTGTGGAAACATCCGCTCCATGCTTTGAGGTTTGCACATCCACTAATATAAAGAGAGACAGAGAAATAAAGAAAAAGGTAGGCAGGGCACAAAAAAGGAGGTAACAAAGGAAGGGGGCACCACCTCCTCCCCCCCACCACCTACAAGGCACACTTTGTTAATTAGCTCGTGCCACATCAGCATTTTCAAATAAAAACCTTTTGGATACGCCTCATAACGCGAAGATATAGTCAGTTAGTAAAGGAGGACACAGGGAACAAATGGAAGGGCGGAAACTTAAACCGATACACCCTGATACCGTGTGTGTGTGTGTGTGTGTGTGTGTGTGTGTGTGTGTGTGTGTGTGTGTGTGTGTGTGTGTGTGTGTGTGTGTGTTTGTTTGCATATCTCAAACTATTAACTTAGGAGTTCACTTTAGATGATGCTTTTAAAAACATACTTACAAGGAGTCATAATCTGCTTTTAGCACGGTTTTATAAGCATTTATACAGCTTGATACAGTAAGCATAAAACCTTATAAAACAATTTATAATGACTAATAAGGTCAAGACTCATTATTTATAATACTGCTGGTCACTAACATAATTTTTCTTGCAACGATCATATTTTTTATTATAATTTACAAATAAATGTTCATTATAACATATTGAAATAAGAGTACATTGAGTTTGGGGGAAAATATGACATTAATGAATTATAATACATGAATTATTATGATATTTAACATAGTCATATTCATTTATATTATCAACTCTAATGTGTAATTATTATTGTTATAAAGCATTATGTATATTCAAGTGCTTATAAGCAATGGTGGAAGAAGAACTCAGATATTTGACTTTATAATTATCAAATATGTTATTTTATAAGTAGAAATACTACAATGTTGTAGATATACTTTGTGACAAGTAAAAGTCCTGCGCTAAAACATTTACATAAGTTAAGTACAAAAGTAGGGCATACAAATATACTAAAAGTACCAAAAGTAGAGTAATTTTTGGGTATGTATTTACTGTATTATGACTATTGGTGCATGAATGTATTAATCACAGCTGGTAAAGGTGGAACTACTTTATATTACTTATATACCGTTGCTAGATAATTTAACCTATAATGATATATCATACTTGATTTACTAGTTTCTATTTTGTATTAGCCTATAATCTGAATATGTAAAATGTTGTCAGATAAATGTAGCGGAATATAAATTACAATATTGGCTTCCAAAAGGTGGCGGACTAGAAGAATAAGATTTTAAAACTCAGGGAAAATACACCGAAATCGTTCTTGAGTAAATGTACTTTACTACATTTACTACATTGCTGATACATCTCTCTATACAACGGTGCTTAAGCCAATATTAGTAGTTTTGATAATAAAGGAAGTTACTGTTCAGATATTAAGATTCATGTATGACAGGCATCCATTTGGTGTGTGTGTGTGTGTGTGTGTGTGTGTGTGTGTGTGTGTGTGTGTGTGTGTGTGTGTGTGTGTGTGTGTGTGTGCAGGCCCGTCCCTGGCCAACTTGAAGCCCCACACACAGTTAGATGATGAGGCCCTCTGTTTCGCGAGTAGGGTGGGGGGTGCTACTAGAGCCGCGCCACACTAAGGCATATACGCATAAGTGCGCCACATTTGCGGCTCAGTTGAGGATCCCTCCGCAAGATGAGGCCCCCTCCGCGAGGTGATCTTCCTGTAGGGAGGGACGGCCCTGGGTGTGTGTGTGTGTGTGTGTGTGTGTGTGTGTGTGTGTGTGTGTGTGTGTGTGTGTGTGTGTGTGTGTGTGTGTGTGTGTGTGTGTGTGTGTGTGTGTGTGTGTGTGTGTGTGTGTGTGTGTGTGTGTGTGTGTGTGTGTGTGTGTGTGTGTGTGTGTGTGTGTGTGTGTGTAGCCCTGTGGTTTGCAGTGTATGCTCTGTGTATGTACTCTCTGTACAGCTTCATGCCGGTGGTGGTGAAGATGACGAGTGCCACGGCGGTGAATCTGTCTCTGCTCACCGCCGACCTGTTCAGCCTGTTCTGTGGACTCTTCCTCTTCCACTACAGCGTGAGGCACTTTGATAACTTTGAGACTTTAGCTGTTTCAAATGTGTATTCAAGGTGATATGCATCAGGCTGTTTTCTCACATCAACATGACTTTCCCTTTTTTAATATTATGCAAAAGGCAATGAAAGCTGCCTCAGAGACTGTTTCTGTTAGGATGCTAAATGCTAGTTTTTCTAAACTAAACTTGTTTGTTTTTGATTGATTCCTATTTGTTTTCCTCTTGTCCTTCCCTGTATGGACTATGAACAGCTGAAGGTGGTAGAAAAAGAAAGTGTGAATAAGTCTATCTAATTACATTTCCGTCAAACTGCTCGTACGTGTCCACCTACCTGGTGATAAACCTGATTCTGATTCTTTGAAACCGCAGTTAGATAAAACATGTAACGTGTAAACATGGCGTCTCTCAGTAACATCTCTTCCTCTCTCAGTTCTCCACGCTCTACATCATCTCCTTCGTGGTCATCATGGTGGGCTTCGTCATGTTTAACGCCGTCCCGACGTACACAGCTCTGCCGGGGTCCGAGTCCAACGAGGAGAACCCCCCCGAGGAGGAGGAGAGCTCCTCAGATCGGCTGCTTTCTGCAGGACCAGAGGCTCAGAGAGAGCCAGAGAGAAGAGACACGAAGAGGGGCGAGGCCCAGAGACCCTCAGAGACCCCCACCCTGGAGACGCTCTGTGAGTGAGGGAGGAAGAGGAGGAGGAAGAGGAGGAGGAGGTGAAATCTGAGGGACTGCATTAGGTGTGTTCACACAGCAGGTCTCTGTGAAGAGGACTGCCTGCTCTCACCCTGTTACTAAGGGCCTCAAAAGACAGAAAATTATCTCTATTTTACCCAGAGACCCTCAGAGACCCCCACCCTGCAGACGCTCGGTGAGGGAGAGAGGAAGAGGAAGAGAAGGAAGAGGTGGTAGTACCAGAGAGACAGCAGCAGCTCATGTTCATACAGCTGCTCCCACCCTGTTACTAAGGGACATACAGCTGCTCTCACCCTGTTACTGAGGGACATACAGCTGCTCCCACCCTGTTACTAAGGGACATACAGCTGCTCCCACCCTGTTACTAAGGGACATACAGCTGCTCCCACCCTGTTACTAAGGGACATACAGCTGCTCTCACCCTGTTACTAAGGGACATACAGCTGCTCCCACCCTGTTACTAAGGGACATACAGCTGCTCCCACCCTGTTACTAAGGGACATACAGCTGCTCCCACCCTGTTACTAAGGGACATACAGCTGCTCCCACCCTGTTACTAAGGGACATACAGCTGCTCTCACCCTGTTACTGAGGGACATACAGCTGCTCCCACCCTGTTACTAAGGGACATACAGCTGCTCCCACCCTGTTACTAAGGGACATACAGCTGCTCCCACCCTGTTACTAAGGGACATACAGCTGCTCTCACCCTGTTACTAAGTGACATACAGCTGCTC